ATATATATATATATATATATATATATATATATATATATATATATATATATATATATATATATATATATATATATATATATATATATATATATATATATATATATATATATATATATATTGTAAAATAATCTCAATACCATGGTTAAAAGTGGGTCAAAACCATGGTAGATCAGTAATTTATGTGAATGAATTTGGCTCATCATGTAATGAATAACAAGAATATGTGTGGTTGGAGAAAGCCAAGTTGGCAAAAGAAAAAAAAAAGGACTTAACCGGCATCTTCATATAAATAAAGAGGAAGTGGCTTGAAGGAGGACCGACATTCATAAACACACCATCTTTCTGTTATTGCAGCAGGATGTCGCAGCACATGGTCATGATCGTGCACACCATGTGCTAATGGGCTTTTGCCACATGCCCCTATTTGGAAAATGTTTGTTATAGTGTAGTGGTAGAGTGACGTTGATGAGTGAGCAAGGCCCCCCGGTTCAACTATTCCCTCTATACAAACTTTTCCTCATGCCTTATCTAACCTAAGCACGCCAATATACTAGCAGCTTGGAAGACATCCATCACAAGAACTTATTTTAGCAGACGGATCAAGCCAAAGTAGCTGCCCCATTTGATTACGGAGGAAGCCTCGTGAATCTATAGAAAGCTACAAAACCAGGTCTTATATACAACATAACTGCATCTTGTACTGATTACAGTGACACCTCCATTATAAAAATACACTAAAAGAACGTGGGATCAACTAACAAAAGCAGAGCAATCTTATGATGCATGCAACATACCTTGTAATAGACAATAGGCCTGTTCTTTTTACGCACGCAGATCGCAGCGGCAGCGACAGAAAAAAAACACAGACGACAGAAGCAAACTAACGGTATCGGAAATTAAAGTAGACGCACATGAGTTGATGGAGAACAAAATCTGAGATCTAGTGAACGCTAGTTTTTTCGGCGTTCGTTTTATGATTAAATGATTGTCGCAGCGATCGTAAAAACAAGTTGGGGTTGTTTCACGCGTACATGTTTGCCGTGATGCTAAGCTTAACTTTTTAACGCAGCCGCTGAGTTCAGCGTTCGTTAAATGAACAGGCCTAATGTCTCGTACTGGCCAGTTATTCATCTTATATAAAACCTTTCACTTCAGTGACAATCTCCAACATTGATTTGTATATCCTTCTCTTTTCAAATCAAATTCTCATTGGCAATAACTCGGATTGTAGTTATGATTTATGTATGCTCAGTGCAAAGCGGTTCCGTCGCATGGGAGCTCATTCTAATTGGCATATATGATGATGAACACATCAAACATTGAGTACTGTTCTTTTTCGGGTTTACTTGAGAGAGAAAGAAGAGCATCGACTAATATTTATGTACAGTATTAAGATTTTATTTAAAGTGTTTTGATATATTCCATGGTCAATTTTTAATCATAAATTCTTGATAAACTGGTTGACAAAAAAAATAAAAAAATTCTTGATAAACTAGCTAGTTCCTATCTTTAAAACTATTTTTTAGAAGAATGTAATTTTTTTAAATTTTTGTGCATTAAACCAAAACATCAGAAGGGATGAAGTATGTTATTTTTCTGTACGTATTTTGATATTTTAAGAAACAATAAAAGGAAGGTTTCAGCGCGTAGAATATGACGCGTCTAATCGTAGCCTGAAAAAGGAAAGTAAACTTTTTTCCAGCTTATTTGTCAAATAACTAAGAAAAGAAGGAAATTAGATCGTAGAAGAAAAAGTAGAAAGAGATAAGAAGAGAAAGTAAGAAACAAGGGAAAAATTTAGTTAGTTTGTAAATTTGTATTTGTCTTTTTTTTAATGTATATAGGATACAATTTCCTTTTTTCTGGATTTAAACGAAAGTAGACTCTAATAGAAATAGGAAACAAACCTCTTTTCTTAAGTTTTCTCTCTATATAAACAAATCTCTTTTCTCTTCTTCTTCACAAAGCAAGATTTTTATAATTCAAAATAACTTCTTCTCTCGATTTCTCTAAAACAGTTAATTTAACAGAACTATGAATTCATTGCTAGGTATGTTCGACTACTTCTGCGCACAGATGATCAGGAACAAAGTTACTGCTGTTTTTTCCTCTGATGGATCCTCTTCTTCTTCCTCCTCCTCTGCGGTTCAATCTGTGTCGGTGGAGAAGTCAACAAAGAATGTTTCGGTGGAGAAGGCACAACTGAGGTTTGCACCGGAGCTTGACGGACTTCATTATTTTGAGACCCTAATTCGTTCTTGATCATCCTACAACGAACTTAATTCCTTTATTTTTATTTTGGTCTTGTGTTTGTTAGAGTTTGTCATTAAATAATATTCTTTTACAGAATTATTAATAAAACGCTATAATAAAAATTCAACTAAAAACACCTCTTCGTATTAGATGCCTTAAGCGGCAAGTTAGAGGAGTAATATGATAACCATCTTCTGCAGAAACAAAATATGTTGCGAAGAAAGGTTTAAGTAGACAAAGTGTGTATCTTGGTTTAAGCTTCCAAACCTTATTCCATTTTTTTCTCCACTATGGGAATTAACGATGCACAAACGGTTAAAAGCCAAAGAGATCTTCGATGAAGGCTTAAAACAGAAGTTGATCGTTGAGAATCAAGGGAAAAATAACGGGAAGACTATTGCTCGAAGTTGATCGTTGAGAATCTCAACAAAAAGACTGATCTTGGTGTCTTCAATATGACACCAAGAAAAAAGAATACAATGCGAAACCTGATAATTTTTAGAAATAAATATATCAAATATGTGACACAACTTCTGAATATATGTGTATATGTAATCTTTTTCATCGGTTACTGAAGCAACACTACTAATTATTTTAAAACGATAGGAACAAAAAACTGAAAAAAAAGAGGGGCTAAAGGAGAAAGAAACAGAAGAATCTGAAACTTAGTTGATCTCAATGAAGAGACTGGCTTGAGGATGCAAACCTGCATCTTTCAGAGACATCGACGCTTTGTCTCTTCCATACACTGTTCTTGGGAAGTTTGTTATTAAGCTATACTCTTCTGTTTCCAGCACTCCAAGTGAATCAACGTAGTCGTACAATGTTTGTATCTTGGTATTGCTTTCAAACCTCCTCCCTTTTCTTTCTCCATTAGGAAACCTTACCAAAACCTACATTTCATGGCAAAATAAACAGTCCACGTGTCCCATAAATACCAACAAAAGAAAAACAGACTAAGTAAGTGTACTACGTTTTATGAACAAAGAAAGTAGGAGAACTTACTTGTGTAACATCAGGTCCTTTCTCAGGTTCCTCTCCAAGAGCAAGTGCTTTCTCTTGTCTCATTCTCACTCTAGCAGCTTCCCTCTCTGCAGCTTCACGCTCTGCTCTCTCCCGAGCCTCTTCTTCTTCTTTGCGTTTCCTCTCTGCCTCAGCAGCTTCCCTCTCTAAACGCTCTTCCTCTTCCTGTCTCTGTCTCTCCCTTGCCTTATCAACACAAAAAAAAGATACCATAAATTTAGACATTAGACTAATCACAATAGATCTTGTAAACACCGGGAGGGGAAACATACTTGATCGGCTTCAAGAGCAGCTCTGTAAGCAGCATCTTGTTCCTCTCTCAGGCGCGCAGTGTTCCTTCTTTCCTCTGCCTCAACCCTTGCAGTAACAAGAACAGGTGAACTATCTTCTACAACTCTTTGCAGTATAGCAATCATTTCTTCTGGAGTTTTCGGTCCCTCCACCTGCCACAAGCAAACGGCACAAACAACACAACAAAACTAAGAACTACGTCTCCCGTCACACCACATATACTACTAAACTAGCACAAGTTTAGTAGCAGAATGACTACAATACTGGGTCACAGATAAAAAAGCAGAATCAAACAGCTATCTCTACCCACTTTCACTACTTAATCATTTCAACAAAATAGTAGTTTCCACACATTTTCAAAGCAGTTCCCTAATCACATAAGAGAGATAAAAGAACAGCTGCAGACAATATACCAAGTCTACTTAAAGTTACGAAATTGCCCCTTCCATAACATTCTTACAAAATAGACTTATCACTGAAGACCCAACTAAGAATCTGACCAGAGAGAAGAAAGACTGTTACTTTACCTAATCACATGACATAAAGGAACTAAAAATCTTCTTCAAACCAAGTCTACTAAAAGTTGCCAATCAACGAAGATCAATCCAAAAATCAATGATCAGACAGAACAACAAAGACAGTAACTTTACCTGCTGAAGAAGAGCAATCCTCTGGTTAGCAGCAGGCATAACCACAGCACAAAAGGGAAACCTCGAGGCCTTCAAGCTATTACTCATCTTAAACCCTTCACTAGACCGAATACTACCTCCCCAAGTCACAAAATTCTCATTCAAAAACGCAACAAACACTTCATTACAAAGCGTCCCATCACAAAACACAGGCGTATCAGGATGATCAGGAGAGTGCAAGTAAACAAACAAGAGCTTAAACTCGCTCCTAGATCTCTGAAGCGCGTCCATGAAACCTTCCGGTACAAACCCAGGCTTAAAAGCGTTCCTCCCGTAATCTCTATCGAACAAAGCAATGAACTCAATCGCTTCACCTGTCGCCGAAGAAGGCACAAGCCGAGACGCCGATGATGACGACGACGGCGGTGAACGTCCTCCGAACCCTAACATACCGAGGGAATACGATAAAACTCCACCGGCGGCCCAGAATCCGAACCCGATGGCGCCGGAGACTAGCCCTAAGCTACCGGAGACGATCGAGATCGGTAACGTGATGATCCTCCACGCGATTCCCGGGGGTCTGGGTACTCTCTCGAGTTCTGAATCGTCGTGGATTGCTCGTGGAGGAGAGTAATCGTTCGTTTCGGGGTGAGTGGTGGAGTGATCGGCATCGATGTGGGAAGAGGAAGCGTCAGGGTCGGGATTGTGTTGTGGGTCAGAGGATGTGAAGGAGGAGATGGCGAGTTCGAGGTCCCAGCCATGAGCTTGGAGGATCTCTGTGCACAAATCTGGATCTTCCAGACCTGTTATCGCTTGGAAGTAACCTAGTTTGTCGGCAACGTCACCCATTGAGATCTTCTTCGCTTCGCCTCTCTCTCTCTAGAATCACGAAAACTGTGTTGATCAATGGTTGATCTGTTCAATAACAATGACGATGGCCTTGACTTAAGTTACCGAAAGTACCCCTACCCTTTAAGCGACGACGTTTTAAATATACCGACCTAATTGGTTCAGTTAAGCCATCTGGTTAAGATTCAATTGGGTTTGGATTTGGAATTGCTAAATATATGCGTTTTCGTAGATTACTCCATATCCAAGCTTCAATCTTATTCTTTTCAATTATCCAAAGCAATTCTCTTTTGAAGGATAAGGAAGAATCTGTTGGAGGAAAAGATAAAAACTCCCATTGATATGTTGCTCAACACTAAGAATGTCTTCTCGTCAGCTCTGTCCATTGACACGCTAAAGAACTCTAATGAGAATTCAAAACTTCAGCTAATAGCAAGTCCAGCTCAGATCACCTGAACCTTCATGTCAAATTACTGTTTTTCATACACACAATGCCTTGACTTAACCTTTACCGGATAGTTTCATACCTAAACTGAGAGAAGGAGAAAATTGGAAAAGCTGAGGATTAAGATCACCTGAATCTCCATTCCTTCTCTCACACATGTAATCTTGTATCATTTGTACTAGATTGTATAAGGAACTACAAAAAGCTTATAATTCTTGTGTTGCCTCTAAACTCTAATGATATAAACAATGTAGTCCGTGTTGGAGCTATCACTGAAGTAATTTGTAAAGGTGACCTGCGAGTTGTTGACACTTGACAGAGTCATTGGTTGAGAGAGAGATCAAAGAGTGTCTGAGCTTGCTCAAGGTTATGTTTATGAAAATTATGATAGATTGCAATAAGCAAGAGATAAAATACGACCAATGGGCAGTCTGTCGACTCTCATATCCCTGATTTTCCAAGCAAGATGATCCTTTTCAGCGTACAAAGATTTGGTGTTTCAAAATAAATGATTGATAGCTGAAATTTTTGCAAAGTTACGAATAGAGTTACTGCTGAGGAATCGAGTCAGTGCTACTTAGGTAGAACAATCTTGTGCTATATTTCCATTTCTGTTCCTATCTGTTGTTCACATAAAACGCATAATCCATTGATGATGGTATTCTACAACCGGTAAATCTCACAGCTTTTACGCATCTAAAACTACTTCATCAAGATCTACTTAGGTAGATTGCTAATAAACAAGAACAAGAAGATGGTAACTGGAACTACAACATAATCATCAACATTCTTTCCTATTCGATTGTGGACTTATCGCTCACATAATACCATCAAAAGAACTTCTCAAAATCTTTCTTGTTCATGTTTTCTTCTTTTTGAGCAATCAACGTGAAGGATGAGAGGAATGAATAACTGAGAATGCTCACGGCAAAGATGACAAAAGCATACATCCACGCGAAACATTTCAGAGAAACTCCTTTTACCCTCTAGACCCTAAGACAGATGACCATCATCTCCCACAAAAAACGCAAATTCACTGAAACCCTAGGACAAGACGTGGGGGAAAAACAAAGGGCAAAGACTGCAGATTAAAGAGCTAGGGCAAGAAGATAAAGCCAATGTGGTCCTCAGAGTCAATAATTGTGCTTTCAACATAGCAACTTTTCAAATCGCTTTAGCAATTGGAACGATGAGTGTAAATCTCATTGCAACTCATCATCGGACAAACTTTACAATATTATAACCAATTTTTATCTGCTGCTTTGTTTTCTAATAAGATAGACAGGCTCCACCAAAACAATGAAATTCGGCATTCATCATATCCTAAGTTGAAGTCAGATCCAATGTAGGGAACTAAGGATTAAATTAAACTAAGATATACTACAAAAGTAAGGTAAGAAACAATTTTTCGTTAAGCTCGTTTAATTTAAAAAAAAACTCTGTTCTATGTATCTAAACTTAGAGTCAGATTAAGTATCTAAAAACCTAATATTTACACCAAATAGTAAGCTAACAAATAACAATCAATGGACAACTTCCACTTAAACAAGGTTTACAAACCTATTCTACTAGTACAATCCTCATAATCATCTTAGAATCAAAGGCTAGAAAGATGAAACAGGATTTCATGCTAAACATCACAGGTTCAACACACAAGAAACCAACACGAGAAAACACTTAAAATATCCTTATAATCTATTCTACTACTACAATCCTTATAACAATTATCAAAGACTAGAGAGATGAAACCAGATTACAGTGTTAAACATCAGAATTTCAACAAACAAGAGAAGGTTCTCCAAAGTAACATTTAAAAGAATTCCCACAATAAGAAAAACACACAAGCTGTTCTTCAACACAGTTGATTCTTTTGATATGCTGTTTCTCAACAGAGACTGAGCATATATATATATAATAAATATAAATAAACCAAGCATATATATAAATAAACTTCATAGATCATGAACAAGGAACAACCATAATCAGTTTCCACATCAACATTTCGGAGAACAAAAAAAAGGATATACAATCAAAAGTTCATATGACATCGTAGATTTAATTCCTAGACCGAGGGATCACCGGAGAAAAAATCTAAACGATGTCGTCTGGTTGAGGAGCGGCGGAGTGAGCAAGGGGACGGCTGTTGGATTCCTCGTTGTCGTCTTCTTCGTCGTCGTCATCATCGAAGGTAGATAGGTTCACGCAGGAGCAGCGCTCGAGGGAGGCGAAGAAGGCGGAGATGACGGTGGCGCCGAACCAGCTCGCCGCCTGATCTAGCTTCTCGAGGGAAGCCGTGCTCAGATTGGAAGCGGTTGAGGCCGTGGAGTTGATGCTGCTGCTTTTATCCATGGCTTCTCGATTCGATTTTTGAATCAAGATCGTGTTTAGGGATTTGAATCGTTGGGAAGGTGAATTGGGGATTTTGTAACGATGCGCGATGGAGAAAAAAAGAAAGAAAAAAATATAGAGAACTAGGATAAACCCGCCCTACGGGCGGGCAAATAAATAAATTTATTTTAAAATTTAATTATTTTAACTAAAACAGTAGTGAAATTGATAAATTCCGTACAAAAATTTTAATTATTTGTTTTATAATAATTTTAATTGAAATAAAATTATATATTTTCTATCAATGTTTATTAAAATTATTTATTTCCTCTCAATGTTTATTCTACCTTTACTAAACCAATAAACTAATAGATTTATTTTTAATTATTGTAGTTTGGAGATAGCAGAAGGAATTTTTTTTTGCTCCTTTTTATATATTTCGTTAATGAATAAAATTATTTTTATACATTTTTTTCTCAAAACTAATAATAACACGATATAAAAGAAATAACTTATTAATTATAACTAAAAAAAAATTTAGATAGATAACTAAATAATATGAAACTATCATTGCTATTTGTACATATAGATGTTTGTTAGAATCATATAGATATTTTTATATATCAAAATAACTGATTAGAATTTTGAAATAAATATTATTGACTAACGTATAAAATATAGTCCTAACAATAATTTGATTATACATAATTAAAATACTGTATATTGATTGTAGTTTATTGTTTAAAAACAATATTTCTTAATTACATACTCTAACATATACACAACTATCACATTGGAAGAATAGAACAATATAAGAACAACACTTATAAACACAAACATATTATAATCAGACATTGTCTAGCATCTTCACAAACCTATCTAAACATCAACAAAAGTTCATACCAAGTTCTTATTCTTCTTCCTCTACCTCTTCTTCATTTATCGCTTCAATACTAAAGAATGTGTTAGCTTTCTATTCCTGCAAAAAAATATGTACAGCACAAAGTAAAATGTATAGAATNACTTATAAACACAAACATATTATAATCAGACATTGTCTAGCATCTTCACAAACCTATCTAAACATCAACAAAAGTTCATACCAAGTTCTTATTCTTCTTCCTCTACCTCTTCTTCATTTATCGCTTCAATACTAAAGAATGTGTTAGCTTTCTATTCCTGCAAAAAAATATGTACAGCACAAAGTAAAATGTATAGAATAATAATAATCCATGCACTCCAAATATGGTTACTTCAGGAGTAACATAGTATTAGTAATAATCGCTTCCAACTATATATATCCTTGTAGACCTTTCATGTAAACTATGAACTTAATATTATCAATTTAAAGGACATAACTTAATAATAAGTGTATCAAGCAAACAATCATGCACACCAAAACTCACAGTCTCTAGGATTTGAACTTGCAATGATTTTCCAAAGATTTGTAGCGATCTATAAAAACCACAAACATACCAAAGTTTCATAGTAATCTCATAAAAACAGAGGAGAAAAAAAAACCTTAATTGTATATCACAATGATAACAATGAATGATATTTTCTCTACACTCAACTACCGATGATCTTTGCATGGCAAATTATTGTAAAAGTAATCACGATTGCATAATTTATTTCTCTCTCTCTATTTCTCTGGTACAAATAGAGAAACCCCATGAGAAAATAACAATCTTCACAGTAAAGTATCTCTCATTTCCCACTTGACTTTTTTTTTTTTGTTACAATGGCCACTCAGACATGGGAGACTATTTAACCAAATATCCTAAGATAATTAACTTCCACGTGGTTTATTCTCTTTACCCCCATTTCATCTTATGTTATGGATGCCATCTCTATCAACATCCTCCTTGTAATCCTCTCAATCCAAAGTGGATGCGGCCTCTCCCTCAGTTCCAGCTGTACATAGCTTAGCCATGGCTCTGATCTACGATGTCATCTTCCTTGGAATTCTATTCTCCACCGCTGCTGATATCCGCGACAGGCGCTGGCTATGGCGACGAACATGCACCACGACTGTCCAATGGTTCCTTCCAGGTGAGAAATCATTACTCAATCTTAACCTCAGCAAGATCAGCCTATTTTTTTTGCGGACAATGATGACCATTAAGCTTTTTTTTTTTGCAGGTTGGGTTTGTAACGAATGGTTTGATGAAGTACTTAAATTTGGGCAGGTCTTCATCGTCATTTATAGGATCACAAATTCTGGATCTGGAAAAAAGTTGTGGTAAAGGGTAATTAAAATTACTTAATTGAAAGGGGAGGGGAGAGTTAGTGAAGGAAGACGTTACATATAATAAATTATAACAAATAGGAGGGCTCTTAATGGGTCATTGAAAGAGCGGGCCAAGGTAGATGTAAATCAACAAAAGAAAATAAGCATCTCTTGCCACGTGTCACGACTCTAGAAACTTATTTTATGACGTGGAGGAGCTTTGAGGGAGTGAACTTTAGTTTATATATATAGATNGTTAGTGAAGGAAGACGTTACATATAATAAATTATAACAAATAGGAGGGCTCTTAATGGGTCATTGAAAGAGCGGGCCAAGGTAGATGTAAATCAACAAAAGAAAATAAGCATCTCTTGCCACGTGTCACGACTCTAGAAACTTATTTTATGACGTGGAGGAGCTTTGAGGGAGTGAACTTTAGTTTATATATATAGATGTATTTATGTCTTACGGAGTACACAAACCCGGGTTCGAATAAGGGAATGAGCGAATGATGTTTTTGTATTATTTCAAAATGTATCCTAACAAACAGCTATATGGACGTGTGTTAGTTACATGTGTTAGTTAGTACTATGGGCCTTAATTCGTAACCGATTATTAATTCTTTTAAAGGTTGCTAAATGTGTTAAATAGATGTTTAAGAAGAAGCTGAAATTCAAGATTTTGGATTTTATTCGAAGAGATGGAATTGATAGATTCTTTTTGTTACCAATAATATACGCAATGTCGAAATGTGTAATGTAAAGGAAATGCGTTTATGAATAAAAATGTAAATATATGAATGACTAGCAAAAGCGCATCTGGTGTAGTGGTATCATAGTACCCTCCCACGGTACTGACCAGGGTTCGATTCCCTGGATGCGCAATTTGGTTGTGTTAATTTTTTTTCTTTTCTGATATTTTTGGCGAGTTTAAGACGTCAAGAGAAACTAGATTTTGACCCGGGCTTGAAAGCGCGAAAATTTTTTATAACTAAAATTTATATAATTGAGTTATGTCTTAATTTAAAGAATGTTTTGGTATAAAATCAGTTTACCAAAATTTGTGGTGACGATTTTTTCTTTAGTTTTTAGTTTCAGTTTTTATTTTTAGATTTTGGTTATTAGTTTTTAAGTTTCTATTTTTGATTTTCAGCTTTTGTTTGGGTTTTTAGTTTTTAAATTCTCTGAGTTAGTTTGAATTTATATTACCAACACACAAATCTCAAACAATCGAACATCTAATTTAAAACTGAAAAGATGACAAAAAATTTTTGCAATAGTTTATTTTTGTAAATAAACAAAAGCAAAAAACTATAACAATATGTTATCCATAACAATGCATTTTCAGCTTTTGGTTTTAGATTTTAGTTTTTATATTTGGTTTTTAGTTTTGCTTTACATTTTTTTTTTAAATCAGTAAATTATTTAAGAAAAATAAAATAACAAATTATTTAAAAGTTACCATTGAAATTTATCAAAAAGAAGTGATTGTTATTTAAAATAAAAAATACAATAACGTGTTTTAAAGTACATAATTTAAATAAATGATTAATATAGACAATTTTGTTTTGTTAAAAATATTAAATACATTTGGACCTGAAAATAATAATTGATTTTTTTAATCCATTAAGATAAAATTTTTATTCAATGTTTTTTGGAGTTTTTCCTTAATAGTAAACCTAAAAATCAAACCATATAATTTGTCCTAAAAACAAAAGTAAGCCCAAGACTATATCCCATAAATAACCATCGGTTTAATTTAAACTAGATTTTGACCCGCGCTTGAAAGCGCGGAAATTTTTTATGATTAAAATTTTATATAATTGGGTTTTGTCTTAATTTAAAGAATGTTTTGGTATAAAATTAGTTTACCAAAATTTGTGGTGATAGTTGTTTTTCATTAGTTTTTAGTTTCATTTTTTATTTTTATATTTTGTTTTAAATTTTGGTTTTTGGTTTTTAGTTTTTAAATTGCTATTTTTTGATTTTCAGCTTTTGGTTTGTTTTTTTTTAATTTTTAGACCCGCTGAGTTAGTTTGAACTGATATTACCATCAAACAAATCTCAATTAATCGAACATGTAATTTAAAACTGAAAAGATGACAAAATAATTTTCTAAAATTTTTGAAATAGTTTATTTTGTAAAAAAATAAAAATATAACCTGCGTTTTCAGCCTTTGGTTTTGGATTTTAATTTTTAGATTTGGTTTTTGGTTTTGTTTTACATTTTTTTAAATCTGTAAATTATTTAAGAAAAATAAAACAATAAATTATTTAAAAGTTACAATTAAAATTTATCAAGATAGAGTGATTGTTATTTAAAATAAAAAATATTAATATATTTTAAAGTACATGATTTAAATAAGTGATTAATAATAGATAATTTGTTTTGTTGAAAATATTAAATATTTTTGGGCCTGAAAATAGTAATTGATTTTTGATCCATTAAGGTTGGAAAGTTTATTTAATGTTTTTTGTAGTTTTTCTTTAATACTAAGCCCAAAACTCTATTCCATAAATAATCGCCGGTTTAATTTAAGTAGTGCGGTTCAATCAACTATATAACTTGTATTATTTGTAACACTCTAGAAATGGTCCAAATTTAAATAACAACTTGTATCAGTAGATAAAAAGAATGACTCTATTTTAATAGAATAGATAGTGCGGTTCAATTAACTATATGGCTTGTTGTAACACTCTAGAAATAGTCCAAATTTAAATGACAATTTGTATTAGTATATAAAAAAAGACTCCTTTTTAATAGAGTAGATTTCCATTGCTTTCATATAATTATTAAATTTCCATTTTTTAAAGGAATTGTTAAGATGCTAAATGGTATATTACGATTTTCACATTAATATAATTAGTAGATTTCCAAATTCCATATTTTAATTTAATATAATTATTAGATTTCCATATTCCATATTTTGATAATATATATATTTTTTAGAACATTCCATATTTGTAGAAGAAAATATGTGTTTTTGGTATACACATAGATATCTGTCGTATTTTGAAGATAGTTTACATTAAGGTCGCCATGTTACATTAATTGTGTTGGTTTAATTTAAATAATGCGGTTCAATCAATTATAAGACTTATATTATTTGTAACACTCTAGAAATGGTCCAAATTTAAATGACAACTTGTATCAGTAGATAAAAAGAATGTAAAATAGATTAGATTCTAAGTTCAAGTTAAATTTATTTGGTCCACGGTCCGAAATACTATGGGCTTGGACCTAAAATATTGCTTATAACAAAAAATACATTGTGGCTTAAGCTAATATAATCCCACCTCGGACGAAAACAAAATTAATAAGTTACATAAATACATGAGAAAACAACAAATTAATTGCCGAGCTTGGTCACGTGAGCTTGTAATCCTAGTGGAGGCCATTAAAGGTAATGGGACCGTTGGTTCAGTTGAAGTGATGAGAGAGGAGATTCGTGTGATAATACCGCGATCCAAGCCACGAGCTGAGCCTTCCGTGTGATAAAAGAGAGGAAGGCTTGAGTCATCATGAACTCTTCCTAGACGGGGGATAAAAGAGCGTTAGATTATGTTTCACACACAGAGCTAACGTTTACCTTCGATTCTAGCAGCCGTGGACCTCATGGGCTGAATTCCATTTCGGACCATTACCTTTTTGTTTTCTTCTTAAACGATCTTTCCTTGCCACAAATAATCAACATTGGATTAACTTTTTTTATCAGAAGACTAGGGTCGACCCGCCCTACGGGCCGGGCGGGATATACTTTTCTTTTGATCTAAATTACTACTTTTCTTTTAACTCAACAATTAGTTATCATTAACTAAGTCAATGTCATACAAAAAGCTTATCAGCTTCCACAAAAGAATTCAACCATAGAGACACAATAGAATACAACTTAAAGACAAATTACTATTTTTATATAATTTTGTGGTTTGTTGTTTAGGTTTACATATGCAAGAGATGTATATGATAACTTTTTTTGAGAAAGGATTATATGTGGTAAGATATGTTTTGCTTATCTACAATAGTTATTTCCATTATAAAGAGTTATGACATTGATATGTTGTGAGAACTTCAAATGATCTCATGTTATTTCCTTGAAAAAACATTTGATTATATATTCGATGTCAAAATAGTTTACGGTTTTCTTAATAATAATTCTTGTATAGCTTAAGTAAATATTTTGTAATTAATCTCATACATTGATTTTTAGAGTCATTAATCTGAAGTGAATAGTTTTGGAAATTTTAAATCCTTTATGTTACAATTAGAATAAAAAGACAAGAAAAACACACTTGTTAAATATTTAATTGTATGTTTAAAAAGAATCTTGAACACCAATCCTTCATGAAACTTCTATGTATGCAGAGTCAAGTAAATTATATTTTTCTTTTTCTTAGAAAGAAAAAAAAAGTTGTCTTTTAACTTTTCTACACTATCAACACTGTGTATTTTATAACATTTTTTTCTAGGTTAAATTCAAAAGATAGCCTTAGAATACTAAAACGGAATGTATATCTCTAACACCTTTCAGTTTTGATTCACTTTTCAAGAAACATGCAAGTCAAATTAATTACATTTACTTACTATGGGTTGGTAAATAGGTGTATTTGGTTTAACAAATGTTTTTATTGGGACAGATTTGATTATATATGTGGCTTGAATTATTATTTTCATGATTACCATTTTTATATTCTTAAATTTTTGGTTAAAAATGATTTGACGTTGAATTTAATCAGATGGTTGAGATATTCAGGGGAATGTGTTCTTCTTAATTTTTAGTATCAAACTTTATTTTTAAATCAGTATCAAATTATACTATTTTTTGGAATTCATGACGTATATACATTTATTTGCATATGATCTCGTTAGTCTTAATTATATCACGAAAACAATATTGATTTAATTTGTTAAGTTTAATTTTGCATTTCATATATCTTATTATGTTAATTTTTGTTGTTGTTTTCTTTAGATCTAGTTATTTATATTGTAAAAAAAGTTATCTCCATACTTACACAGAAAATAAAGTGAAAAACAGAAAAAATCACAATTTATACATTGGCATACTGTATTACTTTTAACTTTTTAGCTAATTCTATTTTGGTCACTGTACCGAACATGAAGAGACAAAGATGACTAGTCATATTTTATCTATCTATCTATCTATATATATAAAATATAGTTTCCTTCATTGTTATAGTGCCATGCCATTAAATAGTTTACTCTCTTTTTATAGTGTTTTGTATAAGGTTTCCCAAAATCTGAGAAGATAGAGTTCGGAGAATGAGAGATGAGAGGATAATGTACAGGATGAGAGCATTCTTTTTTACATATGAAGATTGACGACTGAAAAAGAAGGCAAAGGCAATGAATAAGGAATTGTTGTAAGAGTGGATGTTAAGATGGTCGTTAATGACTACCATTGATTTAATCTCGTAACTGTTCGAATTCTCTTACACAACGTAAAGAAATGCATTCCAAAAACACACGACCAGTTTATAGCTCCAGAAATCAGTCGTAAAAAAGTAGTCTTCCATCATTTTTAACAAATTCTATGGTCGGTAAAGCTGATAGTAAAAAGACGAAAATCTTAAAAAACCAAAATAGATTTAGTTAAAGATGAATAGGATTATGGACTTGATTCGTAAAGCCCATATATAAAACCAAAACATACAATTTTTTTAAAAGACACATGTCACTATTACATAAACTTAATTAGTGAGGTGGCAATCTCAAAAGATAGAAAACTTTACTTTATATAATAAGATCATGTTGATTTTGACCCTCTTTGTTTTAATTAATAGAATTAATTATATGAATATATATATATATATATATATATATATATATATATTATTTAATATTTTTTATTGTGTACATTTAAAATATCTATTTATCTATTTTTAATATTATTTACAGATTGATTTTTTTACATTAGATCTCATACATCAAAAGTTAGATTGGTTACTTTGGTTACTGTCGTTTTTACCCATAAGCATAACTATATTTATTAGTATTTTTATTTAAAATATATTATTACTTTTACAACTACAGCATGACACACACAAATATATTATCTCTATAGTTTTCGTTGTTCTCATTCATCCAAGTCGTCTTGGTTTTTTTTTTTTTTTTTTTTTGGTCAAAGTCGTCTTGGTTTTAGTTTTGTTTTATCCTCTAGGTTATAGGTTACACTCTTTGTTTTGTTTGCTAGCATTCCCTTCTCCACTTTCATGCTGATATCAGATGTTCTCTTTTCAGTGGTTCAATCATTTAATTCAGATCAAACATATTACTGGTTAGAGATGCTTGCGTGAAGGGTAATATCAACAACAACAAAGTTTGGTTGTGTATTATTTTTTTGTGTGTTTCTTTCATTACGTCTAGATATTTTTTGGGTTCTGACATCTATTTAGAATTCTTCAGTCCATGACTATATCTACTCTTTTATTGTATTTTTTATTACGTTAAATGGTTTTGTAAATTCAATGTATATTTTCTATGTCTTACGTAATGTATGGATGGTTCATTTCTTATTATTCAACTTGGCTTTTTTTTGTTTGTTCTTTTGTGCAGTGGGAACGACTCAGAACCATTAGCAGTCAGTCTCTGTTATCAGTCGCTGTTATATTTGTATATATTTGTCTCTGTTCAAGTTTCTTATGAGAGGAAAATGTAGATGTTGCAACTGATATATTTATTGAGGTTCTCAAGAAAAAGAAGTAGAATCACCATCAGGACGCCATAACCAGTTGTAAAACCACATGGTGCCAGCCTTGACTACGTAAATTGTTCATGTCTCATCCATACTGCGCATATGTACATTTCTCTATCGAGATTAGCATGTCAAAAAGTTGCTTCTCTGTGGTAGAGTACTTAGGCTGAGGCTCAGTCACTCTGCAGAAATCATATAACACATCTAAAATCTAATAAAAAGGTTGTTTGCAATGACCATAAGTCCTTTATTATATAGCTGACTTGGTAGCAAATCCTTCAATGTTTCCTCCATCACAAATGATGTAGACATGAGCAGATTGATCTTTTAGTGGACTGGAAATTTCATTAACCACGGTGTATGCTATGTTTGATATGAGTTCATGGTTTCGCAGAAGCTCAAAAAATTGTTATTATCTATAGTTTAAACGGAGACATAATGAGCTAATGTTTTGTGTACTTACTGACCTCACGTATGCGTGAACATGACTTGAGAAAAAAACATCTACTTTATTATTGACAAACTATGGCTCATACATGACTCTCATGGTTTCATGGGAACTTACGCAGTGGTTTCTTGGCTACCACCTTGAGAGCCAGTGCTGTAGAAGATCCAGCTGGTTTACCAGCGAGTGACTGAGTTCTCCGGAGTCCACCGGTAGCATCCAAGAAGACTTTGAACTGAGCAGCCATCATGCCGTACCTTGTTGGGAATCCAAAGACGAACCCATCAGCTTCAGTTAGTTCGTTAGGTGTTATGATTGGTGATTCACTCTTTGGTGGTGTGCTCATCTTAGAGAGTGCTTCTTCTGGAAGCGTCTCTGGTACCTGTGAAACAGCAATTCATCAGGGTCAACGATTCACATGGATTTGTGTAGCGAAGCTTAACTATATCTTGTGAATTGGAAATTCCTGTGTCACAAAACATATAAACTAAAACTGCAACACAGGTTGCTAAAAAGAATTCACAGCAAGAATATCACTAAAACGACGTGATGCCATAAGAAGGGGTCAGACCTGAAATTTATGGAACTTGAAACAGTTACTAAATAATCAAAACATATATCTTTGTTAAACAATCTGGATAACAAATGATAAAACTTTGGAGGCCAATGTTTCATCTTGTTATGCCAATGACCCGTTCAGTTGGCCATAAACCAGCTAACCAACCTAGACAAAAAATTAGAATCTAAACTTGCTAAGCTAAAAGAACCCATCAGCCAAGAATCGAAAATTAAGAAACTTGGATAATGGAAATGGTTCTAAGATTGCTTGAAGCTATTGTTAGAATGTCTTATCCTTTCTTAAAGATTCACAAACTACTTATGACTCAAATCCTAGTGCTGGGTAGAGGACTTTGTAGCCACTTAACTACCCATTTACATAGTTTCTCACAGGAACATAACGAAATACAAAGCCATTATGGAGGGGAAGACAAATCTGACCTGCCATAGTTTGGCTTCAACGCCTTCAACGGAAACAGCTACTATATTAAGGGTAATGGTAGATGTTGTACCATGGTGAATGATTGAGAACAATCAACGATGCAGTTAAAGTTAAAGTAAAACATAAGAACATGACCTGACCACGTCTCATAGATCCTTCTCCTAAGGGAATTTTAGCAATCTCCTAGTAAGTTAGACCATGTTACATTAACTTAGTTCAATAAATCTTTAAAATCAGTAAAGTATTCCTGAAAAAAATAATTTGATAGTCGATGCAAAGCTTATTTCATTATCAATGTTTATTTATACCTGACTTTTTCAGTGATGACCAAGAGAACTGCAACACCTGAGACAGTTTGTACTCTACACAATTCAAAATTTCTCAGATCAGTCTTTTACAAAGATAATACAGTAGCAATCCCATAACATCAGGTACAGAAAACGATTGATATGTAATCAACGAAGAAAACCATCTACACCCTCCATTAGTTAACCAACGTTTTAGAGAGACTGCAATACATGATTGGTATCTACATATCAGAATCAAATCAACATACCCATTCCGATCATGGGAACTCCTACATCGATGCTGATTGATACAGCTGCAATCGTTGTCACTGTCACATATCGAAGTTAAATGAAACTGCTCTTCGGTCACTGTGAACAAAAAAGGAATCACAAACGCGAATTTTGAATAAACATATCCACATCTAAAATGAAACCAAATCAACTCAAAATTCAGGAGATGGTTCTCATAGTAGGAAAGCTTACATTTTTATACTCGCAGTTCCATCTCCTTGCATGAGGGAAGATCGTAGATCGTGGGTGATGGCTTGGACGAAGAACCCTAATTTTGCAGGAAGCAGAGAGACGAAACACTGATTTACTCGTGAACAGGCCTTGGACTAAACAAAGGTTGGGCCAGAAAGTCATAAAGTCTATATGACACGTGGCTGCATGGAGAGAATCTATTATCCAACGTGGACGAACTTGAGGGATTAGAAGTCTAACTTTATATAATTAGATATTAGATATTGTCTTTCAGACTGTAATCCACAAGAAATAAGGTGCAAAAGTGTTGTCCGAAAAACGTGGCTAAAAATCTTTACTTGACTAAATAATTTACAGCATGTTTTTTTTTAACTGATTATTTTGCAGCACGTTGTATTACATAGATTGCATTCTTAGTGTTTTTTTTTGTCGCCATCCTAAAGAGTTTTGGAATCTACACGCTCAAAAGCTAGACTAAGGCATAGAGAGAGGGACACCCACATCCACTAGCACTACCAACTACCCGAAAAGAGGTTATCATGAACTAGTTCCATTACCATTTGCTACTGATATTGTCAATACAACCTGACATTATTACATCCTTCAAGACAATCCCACCTCATTGTATCCTTGTTTAGTCATCACACGAGTCATACCTGTCAGAAAAGTTGTCAACATCATAGACTCATCGCTGTTATCTGAGTAATCTTCCTCTTCCTCTTCTTCGATGCTCTCAAAATCATCAAAAGGGGAATCACCGGTTGAGTCGCAAGGCTGTTTCAACTCTTTGATCGTCTCAAAACATCATTTCGCCATAACCCCATCAAAATCAACACGGAAACACTTGCGTAGATCAAGGTGAAGACAAGCGTCGAGAATGGCGTTCAGCGCCTTGTTAGTTAGTCCATTCCCTATAAGCTGCAGGTGGTGTAGTTCCGGCATCGTCTCTGCAATTACTAGAGCTTCGTCATCACCATAACTGAACATAGGTTCGCAGTTTAGCTTCAACGTCTTCAGATTGGGACAAGACTGGCTTGAAAATTTCAGACTCTCTTCCGACAATGAGCAATATGATACTTCAAGGTGTTCAAGCAATGGAAGTTTCACAACTGCTTCCACAAACCCCTCGCCTGTGTTGATGTAGATGAGGGGACGAAAAACATAGTGCAGAAAGTAACACACATCAAATTTGTTAACGGGGTTCGTTTCCTACATACTCGGGACCTAGTCCAGATTTTATTGACTTAGAATAAGGAGCAACCTAAAATTGCTATATGGTACAACACACACACACACTAGTGTTTACCACTCTTTTCTAAGAAGCAATCTACAAAGATTAGGTATCAGCACGCATGCATACAACACCATCTGGGCACGCCATAGCACAATGTCTTCTACAGCTGAAATCTTCACAGACCTCTTCAATAAAACCGCCTTTGCTAAACTCCCCATGTGTCTAGGCTTCAATCTTCCACTTCTCGTAAGTACTTCACCAAGTACGTCAGCACCCAACGCACACCAGTGACACCAAACGCTTGATCACCCAAGCACACACAAAGCTCACCACGAGCTACACACGATGGCAACTCCCCCACACAAAGCAACAACTCTAACGCCACCAAACTAAGTCCACATCGGACTCCATCAAGAACTGCTTCAAACACTGCTTCAACACCAAGCAGTAACACAGACCAATATACAATGAAACCCCTCTTTCTTTTTTGTGAGGTCTACCTTTCTCATAAGACACGTCCCTCCTTATATAGCAGACCAGAACTTGCTCTTCAAGTCTTCCAAATACACTTAATGCAACTTTCCATATCTTTAATAGAAAACTTCATCTTCAAGCAAACTCTCTTTTGCTTAATGGAAAACGTCCATATGTCTTTAAGTACATATATTCTTTCCTTTTCCAAGCTCAGCAAACCCACGCTCATCACGAACCACAAACTCCAGCATAGCCCATCTTCATGACACACACATGTACTAGCTCCTGTAGTACTTCACGAACTGATACAAAACCCCTCTGCAAACTGCATCTTCAATCTCCTCCTTTTTGACTATGCATGTGCACTCATAATAACGAGCTTGAAAGCCACGTATTCAATCTCCCCCTATGAGTCACATCATGGTCAAAAACCAATTTGAAGATCAGTACCTTCCAAACCAAAGAAGAAAAATCACGCCATCTTCATCGATCTTCAATCAATCTTTGTTCTACTTCCTGAAAAAGTTTCGTCCGCATCATCCATGATCTCACCAGTAACTTAGGTGACCCGCTCTGATATCAATTGTTGATGCAGATGAGGGGACGCAAAACATAGTGCAGAAAGTAAGACACATCAAATTTGTTAACGGGGTTCGTTTCATACATCCCCGGGACCTACTCCAGATTTTATTGACTTAGAATAAGGAGCAACCTACAATTGCTATATGGTACAACACACACACACACACTAGTGTTTACCACTCTTTTCTAAGAAGCAATCTACAAAGATTAGGTATCAGCACGCATGCATACAACACCATCCGGGCACGCCATAGCACACTGTCTTCTACAGCTGCAATCTTCACACACCTCTTCAATAAAACCGCCTTTGCTAAACTCCCCATGTGTCTAGGCTTCAATCTTCCACTTCTCAGAAGTACTTCACCAAGTACGTCAGCACCCAACACACAACAGTGACACCAAACGCTTGATCACCCAAGCACACACAAAGCTCACCACGAGCTATACACGATGGAAACTCCCCCACACAAAGCGCCAACTCTAACGCCACCAAACTAAGTCCACGTTGGACTCCATCAAGAACTGCTTCAAACACTGCTTCGACACCAAGCAGTAACAAAGACCAATATAAAATGAAACCCCTCTTTCTTTTTTTTGTGAGGTCTACCTTTCTCATAAGACACGTCCCTCCTTATATAGCAAACCAGAAATTGCTCTCCACGTTTTGAACTTGCTCTTAAAGTCTTCCAAATACACTTAATGCAACTTTCCATATCTTTAATAGAAAACTTCATCTTCAAGCAAACTCTCTTTTGCTTAATGGAAAACGTCCATATGTCTTTAAGTACATATCTTCTTTCCTTTTCCAAGCTCAGCAAACCCACGCTCATCACGAACCACGAACTTCAGCATAGCCCATCTTCATGACACACACATGTACTACCTCCTGTAGTACTTCACGAACTGATACAAAACACCTCTTCAAACTGCATCTTCAGTTTGGTAATGAATCACACATTAAAAGCCTAAGGCTTCTCAGATTACTCGACCTGCACAAAAATGGTTCAAACACACAATCTAACCCATAAAAATTTTAACTTTGCAATGCTTAAAGAGAGAGTCAGAGAGAAGGAGAGTTCTCTATTCACATTTACTCATCTGGGTGTTTTCCAAACATTGTGATTCTTTGTCTTCTTTCTCAAAGTTCTAATCTTGCAATGGGTGGAGAGAGAAAGAGGGGAGGAAAGAGAGATACCTAACGGCGATGTAGTTGAGGGAGGTTATCAGTACCAAAATACCAAAGATCGATCTCAACCAAGCCACCTTGGCTACGATCAACTGCGTGAGGACACATGATCTCGAGGTCGTAGTCCCAACACCCTCCGTCGTTGTGCATGTCAATCTTACTCCAAAAGGAAAGGTCTTTACAAACGCGACGCCACGATCTGCACACTTAACTATTAAATCTTTATTAAACTTTTTATTAAACACAGGAAAGAAAAAAATTTCATTAAACTCAAGTTAGATTACATAGCATAATTAAAATTTAGTTAGTCTATTTTTATATTTTATTAGTTTGTGGTTTTTAAATTATTTTCATTATGTATTAATTGTTAATTATTTTTATATCATTTTGTATTATAGGATAGTCTTAAATTTGGTAGTAAAAAGGGAACCAAAAATATGTGAGATTCCATATTCTTATTTCTGTTGGTATAAATCTAATAAAATGTATAAAGATTAATAGCATAAATTTTTTATCCTCTTTCTCATGAATTTTATTTATTATAATTATAAATCTAATTGCTTTAATTATATTATATATTTTCACTAAATTATTATTTTTATTATAATTATAATAACTATACTTATTATAATTATAAATTTATTTGTTTAAATTATATTATAAATTTTCATTTAATGATTATTTAAAAAAGATTATTGTCATTTTTTTGTTTTCATTAAAAATAAAATATTAATTATAATGATTTAGAAGTTATTAAATTGTTTGAAAGTTTCGGTGGCTGTATTTAGGGTTCACTTCATATTTGTTTGGGACATGTTATACGGATTAGTGTGATATAGTTGTGTATTTTTTCAAGTCTATTCTCGAGCCTATGGTATTATGTGTTAATTTTTCTCCAACTTATTCTTAAAAACTATCAGTCATGTGGAAAGATATTTACATCACTCATCGTTGTGCTAGATATAGTGAATGTAACAATATTTTCTCATTTTTTTATTTCTTTTCCATTTTATTTTTTCTGATTCTATTTGATAGGAAAAAAACTATGAGATCTTAGCGACCACTGAAGTGGTGTTATGAGGTGAAAGATTCTAGGGCATGATGGTGTTAAGCTAATGACATTATTTTGTCAGCTTATACGCATGATATTCAGATTTATTTTGTCTTCATCTTGTCTGTATCGTGTCAAGATAATTGATTGTTATTTAGTGTTTACTTTTTCTATAATAAAATGAATGACATGTTCACTTAAACATTTTACCATCTCTATCAAAATTTGATGTCCGTTAATATTTTGGAAATTTTTATTTTTATCTGCTGTCAAACATATTTTGCAATATTATATTATTTTTAGTATTATAATATTTTATGTTTTGTTTGTTTTGCATAAAAGCACATAGTTATCTTTATGTGTCCGATTATTTGTTATATTTGATATAATTTAAGTGTTTATACAATATCATTTTTAACAACAACATACAATATAATTTAGTGGGAATCTTTTTATTTGTTTGATGTGTTTATTCCTTTTGATTTTGTTTGTATTCTGATTTTTTAATGTATATTTAATGCATATTAATTCCTAATGTGTTGGATCATCGAGGATCAAGTTACAGCCTCACAACACTCAGTGACAGCGACCTCGGTTTCATCTCCTTTGATGGCAGAAACCTTGGAAGTTCGGTCTGCCATAACCTTTGATCTATCACATCATCTCGAATCCGTCTTAGTACTCTCAGACTCTCAACTGCTTATCAACACCATCAACATGGAGGCGATGAAGCTAGAGATTTATGGCGTACTTAATGACATCTACTTCCTATCTACCTCTTTTACTTCTATCGTTTTCAAGTTTATTCCAAGATCAGCAAATGTTTTAGCTGACCAAATTGCAAAACAGGCCTTATGAACCTCCCCAAGTTTATTTTAATTTGAAGTTAAGGGTTGAACAAAAAAAACATTCTTGATGTGCTACTATTAAAAATCTAGTGTTACACACACATAAAAAATATATATATATATATATATATATATATATATTCAAATTTCGTGCGTATCTGATTTTTCTTAATTTATTGCAAATAAGAATAACATTAAATTTCCTTATTTAAATTTTTTTTAAATTTTATGATATAAGTAATTTATAATATTTGTCAATGTTTATAAAATAAAATATCTAAGAATATAAATTATGGATTATTTCCAGCCAGTTTATGTGGGAATCTTTGTATTTGTTTGATATGTTTATTCCTTTTGATTTAGTTTGTATTCTTATTTTTTCTGTATATTTAATGCATACTAATTCCTAATGTGTTACTATTAAAAATCTAGTCATGCACAAATATATATATATATATATATATATAAATATATATATATATACATATATATATACATATATATATGATATATGTATGTATATATATATATCATATATATATATCATATATATATGTATATATATATATGTATATATATATATATGTTCAAATTTAATGAGTATCTGATTTTTCTTAATTTATTAAAAATAAGAATAACATTAAATTTCACTACTTATATTTTATTTTATTAATAACATTAAATTTTACTATTTATGTTTTTTTATTTTTTATATTAGTAATTTCTTACATTTGTCAATGATGATAATATAAAATATCTAAAAATATAAATTATGTATGATTTTCAGACTTATACTTTTTTTTTGAATTCATGGATACTATGATTTTTTAATATATTTTTTATCTCAAAATAAAAAGATTCATACTTCTTAAAAAGAATTTATAAATGCATTCACATAAAATAAACATTTGTTAATATTAAACTTTAATTTTTTTTGTAAAAATAATTTTTCATGTCATGTGTCATTTTCTCCCCATTCTATTTAGTGACATGGCATCATTATGAGGGAAAAAACTGAAATTTCTATACTAAGATATGTTAGATTCTGACTCAGTGATTAGATTGGCGATAATCTATGATGCAAGATGATTTTTCTTTTTCTTTTTTGAGAACGAGCGTTTTGATGCAGACGAATTGAAAAGTGCAAAAGCAAAGCTGATGGAAGATTTGTTTGGCAACAAGGACGAGAATTTCCGTTATATTACAAACTTTATTATTTTTATCAATATATGAGAGGATCGCCTCAAATATATCATAGGCTGTAGGGGGGAAAGAGTAGAAAAAAGGAAATTTGCCAAATATGACTCAATACTTGGTTTTTTCTTTTTTGAGAACGAGCGTTTTGATGCAGACGAATTGAAAAGTGCAAAAGCAAAGCTGATGGAAGATTTGTTTGGCAACAGGGATGAGAATTTCCGTTATATTACGAACTTTATTATTTTTATCAATATATGAGAGGATCGCCTCAAATATATCATAGGCTTTAGGGGGGAAAAGAGTAGAAAAAGGGAAATTTGCCAAATATGACTCAAAACTTGGTTTCAAACGCAAAAGTAAACCCAAACATGAATCAAATGCAAAAGTAACCTAAAAAACTATTAAAATTACAACCAGCCCCTTGTGAACAAACAAAAACCTGATTTTTTTTTACCTTTCTAACCCCCGTAACTATCCTATCCAGACGCTCTTTATTAAAAATAATTTAAAAATTTTGTAAAAAATTTTTTAGATAAGTGAAAAATTGAAATCATGTAATTAACATATGTTTTAAGAGATAAATTAAGATAGAACAAAATTTAATTGTTTTTAACATAGATGAGTGAAAGTAGTGAGTCATGATATTCTTTGGTTTAGGGTTTGCCAACATATGTTGTAGTATTGTATGTGTTTCTTAGGGTTAGATTTTTGAAAGCATAAATGTTTTTTTTGAAAAATTTAAAATTTACCTAAGTGTGTTTGTTTATGTGTATAGTAAACACTATTTAAGTATATTTGATTTTATAACGTGGTTAGTTTGTTAATTTAGTCAATTTAGTTTATGGTTTAGATTTAGGGTATGACAACTGAAATATCAGTCATCTGGTAAATAATTTTACACACACGACTTACAAGTAAATCATACTAATATTCCCGCCTAAAATTTAAATTTTTTTTATTTTCCCGCTTGAATAATTTAAACCAGACATCTTACTTGTAGTCTTCTGGACGACTTACTTGTAAGTCTTCTGTCTGGATGACTTACTTGTAAGTCTTCTGGACGACTTACTTGTAAGTCTTCTGGACGACTTCTGGACGACTTACTTGTAAGTCTTCTAGACGACTTACTTGTAAGTTGTCTACAAAGTCTTCTATTTTAGTTTCCCGCTATAAATATTTTAGTTTCCCGCTAAAATTATTAAAGTCTCCTAGACGACTTACATTTCAGTCATATGAATCGAAAATATTTAACCTAATTAATTTTTTTTGTTTCCCTATATAAAGAAAAATTTACACATTCTCTCTCATCCTCTCAAATGTCTACAACAAACATGTAATGTTCATCTTTCTAGAACTCTATAATCTCTTTGAACTTATAAACACCAAACTTTACATCAATTTATTGTTTTTGTCTCATGTCTTTCTCATTAATTTATCTTGTTTTTGTAGGTTTTTCATCACATGATTCTCATATTCCACTCATTTAAAGATAGATCTATTAACTTTATATAAATTTTTCAGTTTTGTCTCATATTTTTCTCACTAATCTATCTTTTTTTGCGGGTTTTTAATCAGATGGTTCTCATCTTCATTTGGATATATATGTTGTGTGTTCTATAAAAGTATATATATCTAATATTTCACTTATTTTCTGTGTGTTTTAAGCCATTTAAATGTTTTTTGATATGCAGGTTTTTCAGATCTGGGTTTAAAATGCAGGTTTTTCAAAGTTGGAAGACTTCTGGGACGACTTACCTGGAATTCGTCTGGACTTCGTCTGGACTTCCTGTAAGTCATCTGGAATTCCAGTAAGTCGTCTGGAAGTTTTCTGGACTTCCTGGAAGTTTTCTGATGCTATCTCCTTTCATATCAAGTGGAGTCCAAGCTTGTCTTTGTAAAGGAATGATCTATTATAGTTTTGTAAATCAGTTCCCAATATGTAATATATGTGCTAACAATGTGTTTACACATTTACAAATCAATGAAATAATAGGCTTCAATAGTTTTTTTCATCTTTTGGATCTCTCATATGCAATAATAAATCACAATGGTCT